ACTTTTTAGTACCCACGTCAGTAGCCAGGCTTCAACACAACTTTTTAGTACCCACAACAGTGGCCAGGCTTTAAGCACAAATTTGTAACCCACATCAGTAGCCAGGGTTCAAGCACAATTTGTAGACCCACAGCAGGGGGGCCAGCTTTTGCCAACTTTGTAGTACCCCCACAGTCGTGGGCAGGCTTCAAGCACAACTTTGTAGTACCCACAGTCAGTGGCCAGGCTTCAAGCACAACTTTGTAGTACCCACAGTCAGTGGCCAGGCTTCAAGCACATTTTATTGTACAGCAATAAAGGAATGGAACAGACTGCCTGCACATGTCAAAGCCAGTCATAGCATGAACCAGTTCAAGAAGACTGCTAAAAGGTGTCTGATGAATGTAGCTACAGAAAGGGAGGGGAATGATTTTCTATTTTTTAGCTAACAGTTTAGTTTAATATGTTTATTATGCACCCCATACACATCCTGTGGGCGGTAGTCACCCCAGACCCATCCTGTGGGCGGTAGTCACCCCAGACACATCCTGTGGGCGGTAGTCAAAAGATTACAGAGGTACATAATTGGTCCAGGGACTGGACTCCAAAGTTTTGATAGCTGAGCAAGTTACAGAGGTAATGAACTCACAATTTACAAAGGTAATGAACTCACAATTTACAAAGGTAATGAACTCCAGGTAGGTCTAGTCACAATCATGACAAGTTACAAAGGTATTTACAGATTACAGAGGTACGTAATGGGTCCAGGGACTGGGCCCCCAAAGTTTTGATAGCTGAACTAGGTACAAAGGTAATGAGCTCACAAGTTACAAAGGTAATGAATACTGTAAGAATGGTTACTTACATGGCTACAATCATGAACAAATTATAGAGTAATGAGCAATTCACACTTCCACACCCGGTCACAACTGTAGTGAGTTATTGGTGCAAATATACGTGTAAATTTTACCTTATTCCTAGTAATGATCCTCGTATTGTAGATAGTCTTTTTAGTATGATAATAAGATGTTATCTTCATTATAGAATAATAAGAAAATATTATAACCTTCATATAATAATAAGGTAAAAGGACCAGAATGGAAATAAGTCACTCTGTCTGACTTTTTTGGGTTATCCCAGGTTCTCTACACATATGCTGCTATGTATGATAATTCTATGTAACTGTATTTGTGTATACCTGAATAAACTTACTTACTTATAAGTCACTTTGGATTTTTGGGTTATCTTGGTGGGTAATTTACTTACTTGCTTACTTAATCCTTAGCAGGCAGCCGCGTATGATGCCCTGGACTAGAGTATATCTGTCGTCCATTCATCGCTTCCAGATGTTCTATGTACTGGATAAGCTTTTCACGTTAACCTGTATGCCAGGTGTCCTTTCAGCTATCAAAACTCTGGAGGCCCAGTCCCTGGACCCATTACGTACCTCTGTAATCTGTAAATACCTTTGTAACTTGTCATGATTGTGACCAGACCTACCTGGAGTTCATTACCTTTGTAAATTGTGAGTTCATTACCTTTGTAAATTGTGAGTTCATTACCTCTGTAACTTGCTCAGCTATCAAAACTTTGGAGTCCAGTCCCTGGACCAATTATGTACCTCTGTAATCTTTTGACTACCGCCCACAGGATGGGTCTGGGGTGACTACCGCCCACAGGATGGGTCTGGGGTGACTACCGCCCACAGGATGGGTCTGGGGTGACTACCGCCCACAGGATGGGTCTGGGGTGACTACCGTCCACAGGATGGGTCTGGGGTGACTACCGCCCACAGGATGGGTCTGGGGTGACTACCGCCCACATGATGGGTCTGGGGTGACTACCGCCCACAGGATGGGTCTGGGGTGACTACCGCCCACATGATGGGTCTGGGGTGACTACCGCCCACAGGATGGGTCTGGGGAGCATAATAAACATATTAAACTAAACTAGCAAAGTTGGGTACATGAGCGGAGTGTTGATACACTATCTGTTACACAGCAGTGGGACGGTAGCTGTGTTTCCCTGACATATTTCATCACGTAGCATGGTGCTCGGTAGGTTTATTTAGGTACACATACACGTAAGTATAATTATACATAGTGTAAGTTACTTTGGATAACCCCAAAAAGTCAGACAACGTGACTTATTTCCATTGTGGTCCTTGTTGGCTTGTCAGTCTGAGCTGGAAGACTTCAGTAGCGTCAGTCTGAGCTGGGAGACTTCAGTAGTGTCAGTCTGAGCTGGGAGACTTCAGTAGTGTCAGTCTGAGCTGGGAGACTTCAGTGGTGTCAGCCTGAGCTGGGAGACTTCAGTAGTGTCAGTCTGAGCTGGGAGACTTCAGTAGTGTCAGTCTGAGCTGGGAGACTTCAGTTGTGTCAGTCTGAGCTGGGAGACTTCAGTTGTGGCAGTCTGAGCTGGGAGACTTCAGTAGTGTCAGTCTGAGCGGGGGAGATTTCAGTAGTGTCAGTCTGAGCTGGGAGACTTCAGTAGTGTCAGCCCTGAGTGGGAGACTTCGTTGTGTCAGTCTGAGCTGGGAGACTTCGTTGTGTCGTCTGAGCTGGGAAAACTTCAGTAGTGTCAGTCTGAGCTGGGAGACTTCAGTTGTGTCAGTCTGAGCTGGGAGACTTCAGTAGTGTCAGTCTGAGCTGGGAGACTTCAGTTGTGTCAGTCTGAGCTGGGAGACTTCAGTTGTGTCAGCCTGAGCTGGGAGACTTCAGTAGTGTCAGTCTGAGCTGGGAGACTTCAGTTGTGTCAGTCTGAGCTGGGAGACTTCAGTAGTGTCAGTCTGAGCTGGGAGCTTCAGTAGTTTTCAGTTGAGCTGGGAGACTTCAGTAGTGTCAGTCTGAGCGGGGAGACTTCAGTAGTGTCAGTCTGAGCTGGAGATTTTCAGTTGTGTCAGTCTGAGCTGGGAGACTTCAGTAGTGTCGTTGAGCTGGGAGACTTCAGTAGTGTCGTCTGAGCTGGGAGACTTCGTAGTGTCAGTCTGAGCTGGGAGACTTCAGTTGTGTCAGTCTGAGCTGGGAGACTTCAGTTGTGCCCAGTCTGAGCTGGGAGACTTCAGTAGTGTCAGTCTGAGTGGGAGACTTCAGTTGTGTCAGTCTGAGCGGGGAGACTTCAGTAGTGTCAGTCTGAGCTGGGAGACTTCAGTAGTGTCAGTCTGAGCTGGGAGACTTCAGTTGTGTCAGTCTGAGCTGGGAGACTTCAGTTGTGTCAGTCTGAGCTGGGAGACTTCAGTAGTGTCAGTCTGAGCTGGGAGACTTCAGTTGTGTCAATCTGAGCTGGGAGACTTCAGTTGTGTCAGTCTGAGCTGGGAGACTTCAGTAGTGTCAGTCTGAGCTGGGAGACTTCAGTAGTGTCAGTCTGAGCTGGGAGACTTCTGTAGTGTCAGTCTGAGCTGGGAGACTTCAGTAGTGTCAGTCTGAGCTGGGAGACTTCAGTAGTGTCAGTCGGGCCCTGGGAGACTTCAGTATGTCAGTCTGAGCTGGGAGACTTCAGTAGTATCAGTCTGAGCTGGGAGATTCAGTAGGTCAGTCTGAGCTGGGAGACTTCAGTAGTGTCAGTCTGAGCTGGGAGACTTCAGTAGTGTCAGTCTGAGCTGGGAGCTTCAGTAGTGTCAGTCTGAGCGGGGGAGACTTCAGTAGTGTCAGCTGAGGGGGAGACTTCAGTAGTGTCAGTCTGAGCTGGAAGACTTCAGTAGTGCCAGTCTGAGCTGGGAGAACTTCAGTAGGTCAGTCTGAGCTGGGAGACTTCAGTAGTGTCAGTCTGAGCGGGGAGACTTCAGTAGTGTCAGTCTGAGCGGGAAGACTTCAGTAGTGTCAGTCTGAGCTGGAAGACTTCAGTAGTGCAGTCTGAGCTGGGAGACTTCAGTAGTGTCGTCTGAGCTGGAAGACTTCAGTAGTGCCAGTCTGAGCTGGGAGACTTCAGTAGTGTCAGTCTGAGCTGGAAGACTTCAGTAGTGCCAGTCTGAGCTGGGAGACTTCAGTAGTGCCAGTCTGAGTGGGGACTTCAGTAGTGTCAGCCTGAGCTGGGAGACTTCAGTAGTGCCAGTCTGAGCTGGGAGACTTCAGTAGTGCCAGTCTGAGCTGGGAGACTTCAGTAGTGCCAGTCTGAGCTGGGAGACTTCAGTAGTGTCAGTCTGAGCTGGAAGACTTCAGTAGTGTCAGTCTGAGCTGGGAGACTTCAGTAGTGTCAGTCTGAGCTGGAAGACTTCATTTAGTCCCAGTCTGAGCTGGGAGACTTCAGTAGTGTCAGTCTGAGCTGGAAGACTTCAGTAGTGCCAGTCTGAGCTGGGAGACTTCAGTAGTGTCAGTCTGAGCTGGGAGACTTCAGTAGTGTTAATTAGTTTAATATGTTTATTATACACTCCATACCCATCCTATGGGCGGTAGTTAGACGATTACAGAGGTACATAATGGGTCTAGGGACTGTACCTCAACATTACAGAGGTACATAATGGGTCCAGGGACTGTATTTCAACATTTCAGAGGTACGTAATTGATTCTGGTACAAGACCTCATTGTTACAGTAAGTAACAGCACTACAGTGCTAATGAATACTGAAAATGGTGGAAAATACTGACAAGTTGATGATCAAGACACATGTGCAACAGTTGGATATATTGATGACACGTTTCGCTCACACAGTAGACTTCTTAAGTCAAATACCGAGGCAGCAGATGTTGTAGTTTCACCATGACACTAATGGAAATAAGTAACTTTGTGTGCCTATTTGGTTTATCCCGGGGTAATCTACACATATATTATTTTATAAGACATTGGAACTCATCCAAAGATTGTGCATTTGTTCCTAAATAAACTTAAGTACTTTGTACATCTGTGTTGGCTGGATGATGATAGTTATTATGCACCAACACCTCGTCTTGTCAGTCCTACTGCAAACAATAACAATAATCTTTATCTCTACAAGTACATGATATTCACGTATTTACTTACTTATATACTAACTTATTTACTTATTTACTTACTTATTTGCTTACTTATTTGTATATTCACTTATTTAGGAAGGAGGGTTCAATACGGCGCCGGGTGCGGTGGCCCTAGAATCCAACAACAACAACAGTTCCTCGAGTCGTCTCAACCCTTATACCCAACAATAACAATCTTATCTTTACTTGTAAGTTCTACATCAGAATAATCATCGGTGTGAAGCGCTAAACCCGTGTGGGGATCATACAGTCCATGGGGGGGTGAGAGGTAATCAGGTTTGATCCAAGGAGAGACCCCAGCTCCAGGTTCTGGATCCGAGGAACTGGAGCTGGTTTTCTTGTCCTTGGGATCAAATTTGATTTATTTGTCCTCAAGATCTGTACGACTCGTACGGGTTTGTCGCTTACCCATGAATAATATTGTTATGGTTATTGAAGATGAGGTTAAAATATGTTCATTTTCTTGTATAACAAAATGTGTTCTTCGTCATCTTCATGTTCATCATGTTCACATTCTTCATGCTTATGTTCTTCATCTTCATGTTCTTCATCTTCATGTTCTTCATCTCCATGTTCATCATATTCATGTTCTTTATCATCTTCACTTTCTTCGTCTTCATGTTCATCATGATGTTCATGTTCCTTTTGTTTATCATCTTCATGTTCATCTATATGTTCTTTATCATGTTCATCTTCATGTTCTTCATCATCTTCATGTTCTTCATCATTTTGTTCTTTATCATGTTCATATTTATCTTCATGCTTTTCATCATTATTTTTGCTATCATGTTCATATTCACCTTCATGTTCTTCATCTTTGTGGTCTTTATCATGTTCATGCTCTTCTTGATCTTCATGTTCATTTTTATGTTCTTCATCATCTTCATGTTCTTCATTATCATGTTCATCATATTCATGTTCTTCATCATCTTCATGTTCTTCATTATCATGTTCATCATATTCATGTTCTTCATTATCATGTTCTTCATTATCATGTTCATCATATTCATGTTCTTCATCATCTTCATGTTCTTCATTATCATGTTCTTCATTATCATGTTCATCATATTCATGTTCTTCATCATCTTCATTATTGTAGAAGACGAAGGTCGTACATAAATTAATAAACCAGAAGGTTAATAACGCAGGTTAACTCGGGTCTGCTTCGCTTACTTCCGTTGGGGTCGTCTCTACGGCCACCCTAAGATGCAGTGCACAACAATCAATTAACTCGCAGTTATCTCTTTCCAGCTAAGTAACGGCAGCTAGCATTCGGTGACTCACCAACACGTCCTCCCTCGCCTGGGGTTCAATCCGGGTACTTTCAGTTGTGAGACAAACTCGCTACCACTTCGCTACGCGGTACATAAAGGTGGGGGAAAATATTTATACCAGATTTAAGGTTTTACGTTTAGATTTTAATTGTTAAAACATTATTGATGGCAAAACTTTATTTCCCTTAATCTCAAAAACTCAGTCCAGTTATATAATTCAAATACAGTGGACCTCCGCATAACGATCACCTCCCAATGCGACCAATTATGTAAGTGTATTTATGTAAGTGCGTTTGTACGTGTATGTTTGAGGGTCTGAAATGGACTAATCTACTTCACAATATTCCTTATGGGAACAAATTCGGTCAGTACTGGCACCTGAACATACTTCTGGAATGAAAAAATATTGTTAACCGGGGGTCCACTGTATATAATAAAACATATGTAATACAAGTGTTTTGGCTATATATTTTACACTCCTATATTTACAGTACCATATATAGCTGGAATGTACCTGGAGAGGGTTCCAGGGGTCGACGCCAATAGGAATAATAATTTTGAAAATAACCAATTGGTCTATATAAAAGTTTTATATTGTTAGCTATTGGGCACTGTATAGTATTTTAGCCTTTCTAATTTTCTTTTAATATTTCAGATGGGGTCCATGACAGGTCTGCTGATTTTAACTCAGCCGGTGCGGAAGATTGTCCCAAGTTTGCCTAAGGTTTGTATTGTTTTAAATGTACTAATAACCAGTGGCGGCTCATAATGCCAGTAATCCCTATACTATCATACCACATCAAACTTCTATTTTTAATCATTTTTTATCTCGTTTCAACAAAAAATTCGCTTATAAATACGGTGGAACCTCGGGTTACGAATTTAATCCATTCTGTGGACTTGTTCATATCCTGATTTGTTCATATGCTGGGTCAATTTTCCTCATTTAAATTAATTGAAATGCAATTAATTCAGTCCAGCGGAATTCCTGCTCTCAGGAGGCATGACAAAATAACCCTAATAATAACTCTACGGCTTATTTATCTGCCACAATTCATCTAATATGACATAATCAACAATATAAATAACATAGAAATCTGATATACACTCAAGAATGAATAAAATGTGTCATTACATGGACGGCGGAGGGAGGAGTATTGTGGTCGTGCATTCTCACCATGAAAACATCAGAGGTGTTATTATAAGAGAAAACGGAGTTTGTGAGGCTAACTGAATTAGATCTGGTGTACATACAACATTTACATACCTTGGAGAAGAAATGCAGAGCGACATATCCTGTCAGGAGTTCACACTTTTCTTAAGAACCGCTGTGTACAATTTTTATGTTATTCTCACCACATTACGTATTCACTGACTTTTTTGGCTTTTTCTCCTATGTCAACGGCAGCTTTTCCATCTTTTCGTTGACAGAGGTCCGCTGCTTAGAAATTACTGTAATGCCCGTTGCTGGCGCTAAAGCCTTTATACACTCCTTCTACTTTAGTATTGTACATATAGTTGAGCGGCTACGCTTGTACTCACTCGCCAAGTCCTTAACCCTCGTACCTAGTCTGTGCTTATCAATAATTTCTTGCTTTAATTCCACGCAGATCGTCCACTTTTTCTTCTCGGCACTCTCCTTTGCACTCGCTTTCTTAGGACCCATGGTTAGAGGAAAAAAAATTGGTGAATTAACCGCACGAAACGTAAGGAAATGACGAGAATTCCTAGCACCACAAGGGCAGCTCCATAAGCACATGTACACTGGTCAACATTGTTTTGATTAACACTGCTATCTGGTGGTGGTTTGTTAAACTAAATTATGTGCAGTACGTACATAAATGTACTATTATTATTATTATAATCATTGTTGTACTATTATGTATTATTATATTATATATTATTATTATTTTATTATTATTATATAGTGTTATATTAGTATTATTATTATTATGTATTATCATTATTATTAGTATGTACATATAATAATAATAATAAATTATAATAATAATAATAATAACTTATTATATTATTATATATTATTATTATTAATTTAGGGACCTGGAGCACAGATCCAGTTCCCTAGATCAAGAGCCCCTCACCACATATGTAAGTACTACTACTACTAATAATAAAAATAATAATAATTATTATTATTATAACAATAATAATAATAATAATACAGTATAATAGTAATAATAATAATAACAGTAAAGAGAGACTTCAAAAGGCTGCCAGTAGTTGGTGCCACCATCAGCAAAATATTCGTAACCGCTACTAGTATACTTTTCACCTGTCTAGACTTTAGTTGTCTTAAAGAGGCATTTCTGCCTGAAATGTCTCGGCTTTCGTTGCTCCAATCATATTATATGTAAACACACATTGTAACCTTTGCAAAGAAATATAGTATATTTTATCTATTTATTTATATAAGGAACCTCCCTTGAGGGGGAAGTTCACATCCTGAAATTTCATTCGTATTCTGAAGCAAAAAATCGACCCAACGACTGTTCGTATCACGAAAAATTTGTATGGTTCATAAGCCGAGGTTCCACTGTACATTGAAAACAACATATAATACATTTTTCCTGTAATATATTTGTCAGTTGCAAATTATTTTAGCGTAAGGCTGATGAAGTCATACATCTGGGGGGACTGCAGTTCTGCAGCTCCTATGAACGAGCCACCACTGCTAATAACTAATACTTTTAATTAGTTTTTTATGTTTTTTAAATGTTATTTTAATTTTAGTATGTGTACAGTCAACATCTGCGTAATGGCTGAGACTGGGACTGGAGACAGGGCTTGCTAAGCGAGAAATACATTAAGCTATTGGGGTAATCCTTGGTAATTTACACATGTTAAACTAGGTATGATAATTATACTTATGGGTACGTGATCCTAAATAAACTTATATATTGTTCCCATAGAAGCTTGTCTTATGACGGGCCAGGGATCAACACAATAATACAGCCTCTCCTCATTTAACCCTTAAACTGTCCAAACATAGATCTACGTTTTTTCAACATTTGAAAGTATGTAAAAAAACGTAGATCTTCTTATTGTTTTTTTTACATTTGAAAACGTGTAAAAAAAACTTTGATCTACGTTTTTTTTTGTTATATTTGAGAATAGGTAAAAAAACATAGATCTACTTTTGGAGCACTATGCATGTGAACGTAGATCTGTTTGGACAGTTTAAGGGTTAATGATGGAGTTCCGTTCCTAAGACCACGTCATTAAACAAATTCGTCGCTAAATGAGGAGCATACTATAATGGTAGTGCATTTGTGTCAACCATCTCTGATATTGTTTTAATGTCACCTTTGCACCATTTATAACATTTCTGGTATATTTTTAAATGTTTATACAGTAGTGTATGTACTGTATATTTGAAATAAACATAATAGAAGAAATCAGCTCTAATATGCATTATTTAGGTATAAATACTGGACTGAGAGCCCGTCGTAAGTCTGAGGCATCAGTAAACGAGCACGTCGCTAAGTGAGGAGAGGTCGTATTCCATATCTAATTCCTATTAATTTTTTCAATGATGAAATTTAAAAACAAATTCGTATGTACTTTGTTGTTATGTACATATATGGTAGTCAAGCAGGCATGATAAAGCACGCTGCAACACTGATCTGAGTTTTATTGATGTTACTGATACTTCACATTTTTTATCTTATTCTCACTTATTACACTGGCCTTGCTGTCCCTTGTTACAAATACTTTGGGAAGAATCTTGAGGTATCATTGCAGTCCATCGTGGATCATTATCAAGTCACAACTGAGTGACAAACAGATTTTTCTCCCCATTTTTTACCTGGTTGTGAATTGATAATGGTCTTTGATGGATCAGATTGTTGTATAAAATTTCCTCTTTATAGTATGGGATGATGAAAAAGTGTTCAATCCATGGTACTGTAACTTTTATTCTTCAAAGCCTAACTTGTATGGCAAATGTATTTTTCTGATTCCATTTGTAATGATTTACTTCTCTTGCAGGTACTGAAGGCAGCATCTCAGCATGTTACCAAGACGCTCTACATTCATCTTGATCCTTTGGCAAAGAGCAGACTGCCAGAGATGAAGCAGTGCCTTGCCCTCTACAGCCACATTATCACTAATATATACTCTAGTTCTCCATCACAGTGTCAAGGTTTGGACGTAAGAATCCTCATGGCAGGATTCAAGGGCTATTCAGAAGTTCCTTGCAAAACGCACTTCAGAGTCGATTTAGTAATGTTTGATCAAGCAAGAAGTGGCCACGAGTTGGTCGATTTGGAAAAGAGGTACAACTTCTTTTTAACAGACAGTAGAAGTCAAGTTTTCTTATTCGATCAGACATGTCAAAATGATGAGGAAGTGCAGATTCCACAAGATCCAACTAACGAAAAAGCAAATCAAATTTACTCCAGCGTTGTTATAGGAGGAACCTTTGATTGCATTCATGGTGGGCACAAAATCCTTTTATCTGAAGCACTGTTGAGGTGTAGAGATCGACTAACATGTGGTGTAGCAGATGGACCACTCCTGAAAAACAAAACGCTTGCTGAGCTCATTGAACCTTGTGACAAGAGAATTAGTAATGTAAGAGAACTTGCCGTCGACATAGATCCCACTGTTAGTTATAATATTGTACAAATCACAGATCCAATGGGGCCCACAAGATGGGATCCTAATATGGATATGATTGTAGTGAGTGAAGAAACCAAAAGGGGCATAATAAGCATCAATGAAGCACGTAGAGAAGCAGGTCTTAAGCTTCTAGATGGCTATGTGATTGGCTTGGTAAATGACCAGCTTCGAGAATATGAAGAAGAGGAGATGAAAGTCAGTGCAAGTTCCCAAAGAATGAGACTTCTTGGAACCGTTCTTAAACCCATCATCCCCAACCCTAATATTGCAAGCCATCCACACATTATTGGCCTGACAGGTGGTTCTGCAAGTGGCAAATCAAGTGTTGCAAAACGATTTGCAAAGCTGGGTGCTGGGGTAGTTGACTGTGATATACTAGGCCACAAAGCTTATAAGAAAGACACAAATTGTTATATCAAACTTATTGAAACCTTTGGCTCTGATATTGTCGATATTGATGGTGAAATTAATCGTAAGGTCTTAGGTACTAAGGTATTTGCTGAAAGGGAAGCTCTGCAGACATTAAATAACATTGTTTGGCCAGAAATAGGACTTTTAGCAAAGAAATGCATCAATGATTTGGCAGCTGAAGGATTCAGAGTGATTATCCTGGATGCTGCAGTGCTCCTTGATGCTGAATGGGAAGAGTTTTGTCACCAGGTAAACCATTACACTCCATGATATTGTTAATATGTCTTTCTCACAGTTTTTATCAAATAAATAGATATGGACATAGATATGCTGCGGTTTTTTAACTGTAGTGAAGGCATGCCTCTGGCAAGACAGTGATGGAGTGAATGATAATGAAAGCGTTTCTTCTTTTTTGGGTCGCCATTCCTCGGTGGGAAACGGCCAATGTGTTAGTTAAAAAAAGTGTGTATGTTGCTCAGTAATAACCCACATGGAAACAGAAACTCAGGAGATTTATTGATCTGTATATTTCGATCCACTTCTGGGACCCTCTTTGGCAGATTAGGATCCCAGAAGAGGGTCAAAATATACAGATCAATTAATCTCCTGAGTTTCTGTCCTCATGTGGGTTATTATTGAGCAGTAAGTGTTCATTACACTTTAGTTATTCATATATGTATGTTAGACACGAATGAATGGAGGCAAATGGTTTTGGGGAGCTGACAAGCTGTTGGAGTGCAAGCAAGGTAACATTTTGTGAAGGGATTCAAGGAAACTGGTTAGCTGGATTTGAATCCTGGAGGTGGCAAGTACGGTTCCTGCAGTCTAAAGGAGGGATTTGGGATATTTGCTGTTAGGAGGGACATCTAAACTGTTGTATCTGCACTCCACTGGCAAGACAGTGATAGTATGAATGATGGTGAAAGTATTTCTTTTTTGGGTCACCCTACCTTTATGGGAGACAGCCAGCTCGTTAAAAAAATGTCTTTCTTTCTTTCAACGCACCAGCCGTATCCCACTGAGGCGGGGTGGCCCAAAAGGAAAAACGAAAGTTTCTCCTTTTACATTTAGTAATATATACAGGAGAAGGGGTTACTAGCCCCTTGCTCCCGGCATTTTAGTCACCTTTTACAACACGCATGGCTTATGGAGGAAGAATTCTGTTCCACTTCCCCATGGAGATAGGAGGAAATAGACAAGAACAAGAACTAGAAAGAAAATAGAAGAAAACCCAGAGGGGTGTGTATATATATGCTTGTACATGTATGTGTAGTGTGACCTAGAGGTAGCAAGGCGTACCTGAAACCTTGCATGTTTATGAGACAGAAAAATGGACACCAGCAATACTACCATCATGTAAAACAATTACAGGCTTTCGTTTTACACTCACTTGGCAGGACGGTAGTACCTCCCTGGGTGGTTGTTGTCTACCAACCTACTACCACAGGACGGTAGTACCTCCCTGGGTGGTTGTTGTCTACCAACCTACTACCACAGGATGGTAGTACCTCCCTGGGTGGTTGTTGTCTACCATCCTACTACCACAGGACGGTAGTACCTCCCTGGGTGGTTGTTGTCTACCAACCTACTACCACAGGATGGTAGTACCTCCCTGGGTGGTTGTTGTCTACCATCCTACTACCACAGGACGGTAGTACCTCCCTGGGTGGTTGCTGTCTACCAACCTACTACCACAGGACGGTAGTACCTCCCTGGGTGGTTGCTGTCTACCAACGAAAATGCTGGGAACAAGGGGCTAGTAACCCCTTCTCCTGTATAAATTACTAAATTTAAAAAAAACTCATGTTTTTCTATTTAGGTTACCTGCCTCGGTGAAATATGGCCAGTTCACTGGAAAAAAAATTTATACAGTGGAACCTCACCACTCGAACTTACTAGATTCCAGAAGGCTGTTCAAGTGCCAGTCTCTTCAAATACAGAACAAATTTTTGCTAACCAATTTTCTTTTTGGTCGGCTGTTATCACTAACCCTCTTAGGTCCCATGGTGACTTATTTATACAAATAATATAAAAAACACCAAAAAATACAAAGAAACAGGAAATAGTTTACAGCAAAGTTCAGGTCATGTTTGTTTGGTCGAGTGCCGAGCAAACAGTCAACTGCCGAGCAATTTGTTTACCGAACAAAGCGTTCAAATACTTAATTGTTCAAGTACTGAGGCTCCATTGTATATATCCAGATATTGTGTTCATGTCTTATATTTCATTTGCCAGTATTTTATATCACATCTTACTCTATGCACAAATCTAATTTTATGTCCTAATTTGATTTATAAATTTAATTTTAAATTACTGTACATATAGCAATTTATTTAGGGAATTTGTTTATTGTAGGTTTGGGTGTGCATTATCAAACGACAAGAAGCAATACAGCGCATTGTAGAACGCGACGGGAAGTCACAGGAAGAAGCAGAACGAAGAATTGATAGTCAGATGTCCAACGCAGATCGTGTTGCTCGTGCCAATGTTGTGTTCTGTACACAGTGGTCCGGAGACTATACTCAACAGCAAGTTGAAAAAGCTTGGGCCACTCTCAACAATTACATTGATAATGCAGCAAATGGTTACAAGGCACAGTTATAGATTCTTCTTAAGTTTGTGTGATAAGTAACTAGTACAGGAGGGCCTCACTTTACAGTACAGTGGACCCCTGCTTAACGATCACCTCCCAATGCGACCAATTATGTAAGTGTATTTATGTAAGTGCGTTTGTACGTGTATGTTTGGGGGTCTGAAATGGACTAATCTAATTCACAATATTCCTTATGGGAACAAATTCGGTCAGTACTGGCACCTGAACATACTTCTGGAATGAAAAAATATCATAAACCGGGGGTCCACTGTATTTTGTTAATTCACACTTCCTACAATAAATATATTCACCACTCACTATAAGCAAAGGACAAAAATATTTAGTGAGCAAAATTCATATACAGTACACACACTACTTACCTTAAAATATTTTCATAATTATAGTGAATAGTGAATATGTTTATTGTCGGAAGTCTGAATAAACGAAGAATGGGTATTATTGAAAATCACTGCATTAGTGAAACGCTATAAAAGAAAATGCTGTAAAACGGGGGCCTCCTGTACTATAATATTCTCTTTTCAGTCGAAGAGACCTGGTGTGACTGTAAGCCGCAGGGATGATGCTCCCAGATATAACTGCTCTTCATCCTTTGTTTGATTTGAATAAATAGTGAATAGTTTCTTAGAAAACTGAGATTGTATGCCAGTACTATTTTAAACATTTCTTCATAAAACTTGATTGAGAAGTATTGTGTATAAAAGTTGATAAACTTTCTCATGTGGACATACACAAATAACCCGCACTTAGAAGAGTGAAACTGGTCCAACTAGTTAATGATTAATGGTCCAAATTGGACCATTAACCAGTTGCTATTCTGGTTAGACAATGGTCTAACTTGGACTGAAACATCCTCACAAGTTTCAGTCACCTAAGTGTAGGTTATTTGTTCATTGTTCCAGTAACGGTATTGTGCCTTTCTAGTGTTTGTGTAGACATAGTGTAGGGTGCAGGAGGCATCTGATAAGTCTGTTTTTTACTATACTCACACACTTAAGTCACTCCAGATTGCTGCTATTTACTTCATAGATGGGGTATTGATAGCCTTGACCAGAGCTGCAACATGTCTGGCTTGGTGGTCATCACTGAGTTAAAGAACAGAGCAACAATGAATTGCTCTAGGTTAAATGTAATGCATGTGTTGGGGTTTTTCTCTATGGGGAAGTGGAAGAAAACTCTTCCTCTAAAAGCCATGCATGTTTTCAGAGGTGACTAAAATGCCGGGAGCAAGGGGGTAGTAACCCCTTCTCCTGTATACATTACTAAAGTTAAAAAAAAAAGAACTTTTGTTTTTCTTTTTGGGTCATCCCGCTTCGGCAGGATACGGCAGGTTTGTTGCTGTCCCTGTTCATCTACCGGTAGTCATCTTACACCTGTTGATCCTGTTCACGTAACAGTAAGCAGGTACCTGGGTGTTATTCACATTACACCTGTTGTCCCTGTTTACCTAGCAGTAAGTAAGTACTTGGGTGTTAGATGACTGGTGTAGGTCACATCTTGGGAACAAAATTAACCTCATTTGCCCGAAACTCTCTGCATAACCAGGGGCTTTCTATATGGTATGTAATTGATGACAGCTGTGGTCTGTACACGTTGTACATATTCTTGTAGAAATAAAAATTATTATTATTATTATACCTGGGTTACAACAACGTGAAGAGGTAGTCTGTTGTAATCAGTTCATCACTCTCAGTGCAAGATAATCAGTCTCTTAGCATACAGCAGAAGTTTTTATATAGGAGGGTGAGGTGGAGGAGCTTGGTGATGAGGTCACATGTGAATAGGTCACACTAGTGGCAGTAGGTCATGCTAAACAAACTTTAACAAAAAGAGTTGTGGAAGGCATCCCTTGTTCCAAGATTGCATCAGTATAATATTAATTTTGTGTCAGAATGATACAATGTTTATACAGAGTATTACCTATTAGGTTAAATCTGCCCAAAATGCCTTGGCATGATAGGGACTTTATTTGTACCAATCAGATTATGAAATGTAAACACACATTGTAACCCTTGCAAAAAAAATAAATTTTGGTTTTAATTTAGAGATTTTATTTTATTTATTTATTTATTTATTTATTTATTTATTTAATAATTTGAACATACATACAGAGGTACAAAAAAATACAGGTAAGAGCAGTATGCCAAAGCCACTTGTATGCATAGCATTACGGGCTGGCTTAAAATTAACTTAAGATTAACTAAGCAATGATGTAATCAGTGATAAAACATTATTGTAAACAGATAATAATAAAGCACAAATGAGATAGGTGACATTTAATTGTGCAAGCAGAAAGCCATAGTTATGCAGAGCATTTTGGGCAGTGTCAGTGTAAATGGTATACAATACAGCCTCTCCACACTCCACGATGGAATTCTGTTCCTAAGACCACATCAGTAAATGAATTCGTTGCTAAGTGAGGAGCACACTTTGTAAATGTGACTTTGTAAATGGTCCAAGTTGGACCGAAACGTCGTCGTAAGCTTCTCTCTTTTATGTGCAGGTTATTTGTGTATCGTTCCAGTCACGGTATTGTGCCTTTTTTTTGTTATTAATGGTAGTGAGTTTGTGTCAATCATCTTTGATATTATTTTAATGTCACCTTTGCACCATTTATAACATTTCTGGTATATTTTTAAATGTTTATTCAGCAGTGTACTATATATTGTAATAAACAGAATAGAGGAAATCAGCTCTAATATACATTATTTAGGTATATATACCGGTCAGAGAGCTCGTCATATGTTCGAGTCATCAGTACACGAGTATATCGCTAAATGAGGAGACGCTGTACCAGCAAGTTGAAGAGTTAAGATATATGTGCACTGATAGGTATCTTAATTGATGAAAGTTTTCCCAGGACTGCAGGCTTCATTGACAGTGGCGGACCTACATTTTTGGTGCCCTGAAGCTTCAACTGTTATGGGGGCCCTTTTACACCATCTTCTCATGCATTAGACCCAAAATTTTAAGCAATGTGGACTAAAGTCACTTCTGGGGCCCCTCCAGGATTAGGGGCCCTGAAGCTTAAGCTTCATTAGTTTTATAGTAGATCCTCCCCTGTTAATCAAATTCAAATTCAAAGTTTATTCTCTATAAGGATTACAATGCTGAGTTTACAGAATTTGGTTATTGTGTGGTTTACATGTAGTAAAATAATAATTACAGAGTGTACCACTAGAACACCTAGCATGGCTAGGCATTTCGGTTGAATGCAGTGGTGAATTACACTCCTGGAGACATCAGCTTTGGTGGAAGATGAAGTACATGAGGTGGAAATGTCTCCAGCTGTGAAATTTATCTCTGTATTAGACTGACAAAGCTGCAACACTGGTGAACCATTTGGTCAGTAAAGATTGCCAGTGTTGTGTGTGTCTTACTCCTCATTAATGTTGCTGTTATCATGTTAGGTGGGTCCATACATCAATCATCCTAATCAAACCTCGTCTAGGCAAATTTTCCCTTTCTCGGATCAAGCATTCCATTCCCCAGGTACCACAGTACCTTCTTGGGTTTAGTGCCTTTTCATGTTAGTGATAATTCACTGGGTAATACAGTGGACCCCCGGTTAACGATATTTTTTCACTCCAGAAGTATGTTCAGGTGCCAGTACTGACCGAATTTGTTCCCATAAGGAATATTGTGAAGTAGATTAGTCCATTTCAGACCCCCAAACATACACGTACAAACGCACTTACATAAATACACTTACATAATTGGTCGCATTTGGAGGTGATCGTTATGCGGGGGTCCACTGTATTGTATACAATAAGTTAGGTTAGGTTGGCATTATTTTCTAGCCTAAGATATGCTGAGAAATCTGAATGTCCTGTTCATTGTAATTCCTTGAAAAATTAGAAGTTTCTAAAACTCTGATCATAAAATATTTATTTGACAACTGCAATCTCTTAGAGGCCAGGAGAAGCACACAAAATCCATTAGTTATTCAGTTTACCTGGAGTTTACCTGGAGAGAGTTCTGGGGGTCAACGCCCCTGCGGGCCGGTCTGTGACCAGGCCTCCTGATGGATCAGAACCTGATCAACCAGGCTGTTACTGCTGGCTGCACGCAAACCAACGTACGAGCCACAGCCCAGCTGGTCAGGTACCGACTTTAGGTGCTTTCATTCCCATTATTTCTGATGACATTTTCCAGGTGCATTTTGAACTGTCTCAGAATCTTGCTTGCTAGGATGTTCTGTATATTGCTTATTCTTTGAGAGGAGAATTTGTTGCTGTCAGTCATATTGCTATCCTCAAAAGGTTTTCAAGGTATATACAGTGGTGACGTGTACTTAGCTGTGGTGACGTGTACTTAGCTCAGTGGTGACGTGTACTTAGCTCGGTGGTGACGTATACTTAGCTCAGTGGTGACGTGTACTTAGCTCAGTGGTGACATGTACTTAGCTCAGTGGTGACGTGTACTTAGCTCTGTGAAGACCTGTTTGCGCACTCTCTACGAATTGAAGCAAGATGCCCTCCATCGAGCAACTTTACCGACAGCTTAAGGAAGAATTGAGGATGGCGAAGATGGAGATTCGGCGACTGGCCAAGGAAAACAAGAAGATTCATAGTAGTCCTCCTGTTTTGAGTCCTCAGGTCAAGAAAGGAAACTGGTCAGTGGCTGGACAGCAGGGAACAAAGTTGACGATCAAGAAGACGAATGGAAAGGTAGAAACGATGAAGAAGAAAGAGACTGCCGTGGAAACTGTTGTGGAAACATCTAATACATTCTCAGTGCTACCCGACGAATGTGAGTCGACTACTGGGAACGTCACGATGAACGACATCAAGGAAGGTAAGAATATTGTTGTTGTTGGGGATAGCCAAGTTAGGTATATGGATAGGGCATTCTGCTTGAAGGACAGGAGTAGGAGACAGAGGGTTTGCTTTCCTGGGGCTGGGATGGAGGATATTGTTAGGAGTCTGGATGACATCATGAGAGGTAATGGGAGCAATCCTACTATCTGTCTCAGTGCTGGAGGCAACGATGTTGGCAGACGTAGGAGTGAAGACCTGATTAGCAGGTATAGGTCAGCAATAGAAATAATTAGGAGGAAGGGTGGGAACCCTGTCATATGTGGTATTTTGCCAAGGAGAGGAGTTGGAAATGAATGGTTGTCCAGGGCAATTGGTGTCAATTGCTGGCTGGACAAATACTGTAAGGAAAATGCGGTAACATTCATTGACAACTGGGACCTCTTCTATGGCAGAAATGACATGTATGCCAGGGATGGGGTTCACTTATCTAGGTCTGGGGTGGGAGCACTGGCAACTGCAGTGGAGGGAGCTGTTAGGACTTTAAACTAGGAATAGTTAGTGGTATGGGTTTTGGCAGGAAAACAGTGAAGTCCCAGTGTAGTAATATTATGAGTTCTAGGGGAACTAGTAAAAAGCAGAACAAGGTAAATATTGAAAAGCCAGTGACACTGGGTGATAAGGGCAGTAATAGGTTTAGTAGAAAAACAGAAATGAGCAGGAAGGGTAAAGAGAAAGGAGAGTCTTTCAATGTTTATTATGCTAATAGCCGTAGTGCTAGGAATAAGATGGACGAGTTGAGATTAGTTGCTAGTGCAGGTAACATTGATGTATTTGCCTTAACTGAGATGTGGTTTAATTCAAAAAGTCGGGACATGCTTGCGGAATGTCACATTCAGGGTTTTAAATTGTTCCAAGTAGATAGAAGTATCGGGAAGGGGGGTGGGGTGGCATTGTATGTCCGAGATTGCTTGAACTGTTGCATAAAAACGGGTATTAAGTCTGAAATAACACATACAGAGTCTGTTTGGATAGAATTTTCAGAGGGGCATGAAAAACTGATTTTAGGAGTGATATACCGTCCCCCAAACTTAGATAGGGACCAAGGGAAACTACTATGGGAGGAAATTGTTAAGGCCACAAGGCACGATAATGTAGTAATTCTAGGAGACTTTAACTTTAGTCATATTGATTTGAATTTCTTGACTTGGTATTTAGAATCATACGACTTCTTAGAAGTAGTTCAGGATTGTTTTTTGAAGCAGTTTGTGACAGAACCTACAAGGGGAAATAACCTGCTTGACTTAGTTCTGGCAAACAATGAATCCCTTATTAATAATTTAGAAATTTCAGAGGAACTGGGTGCTAGCGACCACAAATCAATTACATTTAGCATTGAATGGAAGTATGATAGTAGTGATAACTCAGTAACAGTCCCAGATTTTTGCTCAGCAGATTATGATGGGCTTAGAGAACACTTATCATCTGTTGACTGGGGTAACGAAGAGAGCTATCAATATGACAGTTTTCTGAACACTATACATGCTGCTCAAAGAACGTTTACCCCATATAAAGAAATTAGATCAAATAGAAATGACCCAAAATGGATGAATAATAGGCTCAAATATCTACTAGGACATAAGAAAGGAATTTATAGGCATATCAAAAGAGGTGAGGGTCATCTTATGAATCAGTATACAGTGGACCCCCGGTTAACGATATTTTTTCACTCCATAAGTATGTTCAGGTGCCAGTACTGACTGAATTTATTCCCATAAGGAATATTGTGAAGTAGATTATTCCTTTCAGACCCCCAAACATACACGTACAAACGCACTTACATAAATACACTTACATAATTGGTCGCATTTGGAGGTAATCGTTATGCGGGGGTCCACTGTATTGACATTAAGAGGGACATTAAAAAGGGGATAAGAAAAGCTAAAAGGGACTATGAAATTAAAGTTGCTAGGGATTCTAAAACTAACCCAAAAAGTTAGAGATAAGATAGGTCCCCTTAAAAATAACTATGGGCATCTTCCTGGCAAAGAGAATGAAATGTGCTCGATTTTAAATAATTATTTTCTCTCGGTTTTTACACAGGAAGACACTAACAATATTCCAGTAATTAATTTTTATAGTGGGCTAGAAGAAGATAAATTATGTAACATCACTATCACTAGTGAAATGGTTGTGAAGCAGATAGACAGACTGAAGCAAAATAAGTCGCCGGGTCCTGATGAGGTTTTTTCAAGGGTTCTTAAGGAATGCAAAATGGAACTC